AAAAAAAGCAAAGTATTTAAAAAATAAAAAAAGATCTTCTTTAAAATTAGTTTGAAAACAAATGTAAAACCTAAAAAATAATTTTGTATGAAGATTAAAACAAAATTTTAGTTTAAAGTTTACTAAATAAAATTACAATTTTTGAAAACATTTGTTATATTTATTCTCTCAAAAAAATAATTAGACCCGATTCAAAGACAAAACAGAAAATTAAATGAAAATAAATAAAAAAATAAAATAAAAAAAAACATGTGAAAGTGAAAAGTATACAGGAAAAATAAGGGGCTGCGAAGCAGCCCCATAAGCCCCTAGTAAAATTGAAACTGTTTTACCATGAATTGCAATATTTTTACATCATTTGGTCAATAAATGCCGATTAAAAAAATCAACAAAGTAAGTTCCACATGTCAGAAAGATATGCGATGTAGGAGTGCAATAAAAATTCCCAACTCATTTCAATTGTATTTCAATAAATTTCAATAAGTCGTGCGCCTTCAATCAGCAGATAGGCAACATACACACCACTCCGATGCAGTATCAATAATTTTACCATATGAGGGGCTCGGAGGACAAGGCGGATATGTAAGTGCAGTTTTTGCTTTCGAAAAATACAGGTTGGAAGTTTATAAATTACATTGACTCTATGGCGGAGAGAGAGTTAAAACTGATTTTTTCGCAGAATATGCATCAATACTAGTTTTACTCGGAATCATTAATATCTCAATTTTTTCAAAAGCTGCACTTATGCGCCTTGTTCTCCGAGCCCCTCATGTATAATTAAATCAGTGAGAACGAAAACACACCAACTCGAAAAAATGAAAATAATGAGGACACACACAAAACTGCACAGTAGATAAAGAAGTAAGTCCAAGAAGAAAATTTTTGGTGCCGAAAGACGAGTACTTAAGGATACTTTACAGGTCCAAGTTGGAACAGATTCGCTAAACTTCAATAACCTTTATGAAAATTGACTGTCCTTAATGAAAATTGAGGATTTTAGAGTTACCGAGTTGGTGTGTTGTCGTTCTCACTGATTCAATTGCGATTCATTGCAATCTGTGCTACGTGAGTATCCAATCTCTGAAATCTCCCACTGAAATCAGTCGCTGAAATGGATTAAAAATATTGACTGTGCGATTACCAAGCGACTCGTGATAATAAAAAACATGCTATATTTCTGGTAGTAGAATTCAATTCTATTATACCTTTGTCAGTAAATGTTCCTAAAGGCTGAATAACACCGAGAATAAAATACGGTTTTCCTACAGTACACGGTAGGTGAACGAGAATGCACAGTTGTGATGGCTGACAACATGGTATACTGCTGAAAATAAACTTCGGTAGCCTTACCGTTACCGTGCCTCCGTAGCACAGTGGATCGAGTCAATTAGAGAGGTCGGACAAGAATTTTTTGACTAGCATTGCAAATTTTGATGTTTATTTCGTCACATTTTAGATTTTAAGGGGGTATCTAGAAGAAAATTTCACAGGGAACCAATGGAAGCAATTTTAGAACCTCAAAGTTTCGTATAGACGGAGTTGTAAGCGTCTAAAGTTTCCAAAGTTTGTCCGACCTCTCTTATTGACTCGATCCATTGTGCGTAGGCTGACTGATTACGTTGCAGTGACCGGAACCACTCTTTAGATTACCATGTTTCCACTGCGTGTTGGCTATTTTCCCTTTCAAGGAATTTGATAAAACTCTAGACTTAAGGACGTTGGTCAATTTCGTGCGATTGCAAAAAGCATTGCCAACGAGCTGTAAAATCAGCGCTACGTGTAAGATAGTGGATTTTATTGCGCGAAGCCACGAGCTCACAAGCCAAATCCATGCCTCTATATTTGCGTTTTTGAGTGATATAAAAGTGGGGAAGAAATAATATATCGATGGTTAAAGTTGGAAAATAGTATCTTCTATTGAGACGTTTTGAGTCTCCCCCAATTATTTATTTCACTATTTATTGGAGGAAAAAGGAAGTAAGAAAACCAACTAAGAGTTCAATTGCGATTTTTTCAGAAATTTTTTCGCGCACTTTGACATACTCACAAGACAATCAAGGAGATATCTTGAATACTTTTCTATTGAAATAATAATACATCACTAGATATTTAAAACTTTGCTATATAGATACTCATTGCTTTTACTTATACGTTACACATTATAATTTTTTTACTGTGAGTCAAGATCATGGTCATTTAAATACTGACTTCATCATGCGACCACCACTTGACAAATAAAAAGATGTAGGTCAAATATGAACGCACGTCGCGATAATGCATTCACTATTGTTCCATGTTCCACTATTGTTCTCGCCTATAGTCCAGTGTGCGACCAAGAAAACTGGATCATCCAAATCTCAAAAAAAAATTTCCAAATTCTTTTCCTTACCAAAAACAAAAAACAAAGATAAAAACAAAACAATATAGATGATAAGAGACAGTCGTGCTCATAATGGTTGCATCTCGATGAAAAATAGGCAGAATTGAAGGGTTTGAAATATCCGAAATCCTAATTAATTTTTTATTGATTGAAGAGGCTGAATCTCACTATGCAGTTCAGAGCAGCGCATCAGTGTATATCTCTCCAAGAATCTTAAAGCAGACAATTTTTTATGATCCCTTGCGAATTTATCTTTTTTTGTCACGGAGGTTTGGAGGCATGAAAGATTTAGATCATTCCCTTGCGACCGTCTCCTTAAAGTTGTTTAAGGGTCTGAAAATCTAAAAAAATGAAGGCTCCAGTATAAGTAATCAATGCGAGCGAAGTCAGAGGGAGACCTGTAGGAAGGGAGGGTCAATGCAGGGGCGGGGGGTTTATCAATGTCGTATTTTCAGCAAGCTCTTGTTTGCTTATTTGTTACAACACAATCTTACAAGCCCGCATAAGATAGGACATACTGTCTTGCCTAACTTGCACCAAATAAGTCAATTTCATCAAAGGTAACGTACGTTTAGTTGATTCTCACCCTCTCTCCAACATCTGAACTACTCTCGGAGTCTTCTGAATAATTATAAACAAGTATTTTACAAAGACTGGAGGGGAGGACTTGTTCAGTGTAATGTTTCACAAAATCTTTGGTTCATTATCTTAAAACTATATTTCTGGAGTTACCGCTCTGTTCGGTACTTTAACCCCCAGAACTTTAAATTTCAGAGTAGTTGAGGCGCTGCAAGGGTGTAGGCGTAAGAGTCTTGACTGGACTGAAACTCAAGAGACTCGAATAGTTTCAGAGACGGAATGTTGCCTTGTAGTATTGCAGCTCCGACGACCAGACCCTCAGAAAGTAAAGTCTTACACATGGTATTGACAAGGAGCCTTGCGTAGCCTTTTCTCCGGTGTTTCTTCACCGTATGAAGCATGGTCAGCGCGCAGAACTCGCTGAGCAAGACCCAGGCGCGGAGTTCGCCAGTTGTTCGCGAATAGACACCCAAACTTGGGTTGTACTCGATGAGGGTTGAAATGTACTCAGCCGCATCTGGATGATTGAACCAGTTCGATTTGATCAGTTCTAAAGATTCGAGTTTCAAAGGTGCCAAACGAACTTCTGGCGGACACCTGGAATAAACGAGAGGTAGCTTCAGGTGGATTTGATTTCCCGCCAGCACTTTGTCAAATGCCCAGGCGAATCGTCAAATCGACGGTGTAAGTCGACAATCACATAACTCATTTGCGGTGTGTGAAAATCTCCGTCCCTAAGTTAATTTTTCAAAGGAGAAAAAATTAACATCATACCTCGGAGTCTATGCAGAATTTTCTTCGCACAAAAAGAAAAAAATCACGGCAGTTTTAAAAAATTGCTGTTGAGTGATTTCCCGTTTAAAAAATAAAATATGACATGAAGTCTGCGCCGCGCCGTCGCAAACCGCGTTATGTGATTGCCGACCCACACCGTCGAAATATCCTTACTCAGATCTAAATGTTGATTGTTTTGCTAATTTTTGAAAGTATATTATTCTTTGGTTTTTTTTTTAAATAATTGGACCGCGTTAAGCAGAAAGAAACCAAGCCACATCAGCTATCGCCATAGATAACTGGACGATTAAATTTTTCCATAAAAACGGTTGTGCGGATGTTTGTGCAAATTTGAGTAAATTTTCTGCTTAGCACGAAGCAAATTCTTTAAAATATTCGGAGGAATCCGCAGAACGTTCTCCTGAAAAACATTAGGTTGCCCAGTTACATTTGGCAATAACTGTTATGCCTTGGTTCCTTTCTGCTCAACGCGATTCAATTATACTATAAGGAACTATGGAAATAATAGTTGATTTTATGCTTTTTAGCCATTGAATACAATTTTATCTAACAAATCGCTAAATTTAATTAAATATAGAGTTTTCATAATTTTTACTGTTCAAATGAGCCGGGACCATTTTTTAAAATAAAATAGCGCAAGAAAAGTTCTATTTTGGTGATTTCTTACTCCCAGAACATTATTGCATTTCGAGAGCTCTTCGTCCAAAACATAAGGAGCTCTGTAAGTAAACGTACAAACGTTGACTATCCGCCTAAGCGTTTGATAAAAAGCCTAATTTTACTAGTTGTCTTTGGCCTATCTATAATGTGAGTGACAGAGTAAGGAAAAATATGCCACAAGGTCAAGGCGCAAATTTTTCAGAGAATTGGAAAGACTAAAGCTGGGTAAAAAACATCGATTTTCAGATTTCAATGCTGAATGCCTCCTATTCTGCCATGCTAAAGAAAAACGCCGTATGAACATTCGATAGTTGCAAAATTTTCCCGGATAAAACATGTATTTTTGAGGAAAGTTATGCTTATTTTCCCTTGAAGTTTTCAAATATGTTAGATTAAATTGCCAACAAAATTGTCTGAAAAATTTAAAGAAAAATATTCATAATTTTGCCAGTAAATTCGTTTTGTAATGGAAAAATGTGGCAACGCCTGAAGGCTCATATGGCGTTCTTCCATAGCACAGCAGTGTCACACTAAGAAAAATTAGAGCCATTATAAGACATTTTTTATCTACGTTCCGCAAACGTTTGACATAAATCGCTCTGGATTTTTACTTTTTATGAAAACCTATTTATCAAGGAAATAATGGCATAATTTTAACACAAAAAATGGTCAAAATTGTAAAAAGGATCCGTTGTATTTGTAACTTTTGAAAGATCTTAGGTAGGTATACTCACGAGCAGGTGCACAAAGTGAGCTGATTAGGAATTGCCCATTTGTATACATGTTTGGCTGTTTGTGAATTGGCCGGAAATTTATATAAACTATTGACGTATTCAATTATTTTATAGTTGTGATGAGAGAGGCATGCTTGTACAATGGGTAATAGATTTTCGTGGAACGCAGTAAAGAATATAGTAGTTTCCGGCGAGCTCCAATTTATCCTTTCGGTCGTCAGCAAGGCATGCCTCAGTGCCGATGTGTCTTTATCTATGCAGTGGATGCTTATCTTGTAGTTTTGGGCATCCTGAATCGCAGAAAAAATTTAAGAATCAGCTACTTGCTATCCTGCGTATACACTACAACGTAAAAAAATGCCAAGATGTCGCATGGTGGGCAACATTTAATGATTATTTTAGGACAGGGCCGGATCAAGGGGGTGGCCACATGGGCCGCGGCCCATGGCGGCAAATCTAGAGGGCGGCAAATTTTGCAATTTTTTTAAATGCAGGTATAAAAAAATATCGGAATTAGAAAAAAAAAATTACAAACGAGAAAAGGCGACAAAATCTCTCATTTCCTGAGAGTATAGTAATTTCTAATTTTGTCGTCTTTCAGTGATACAAGAGACAGCACATTTAAGTAGTCGAGTTAAGAGAGAAACCAAACACGCAATTTGGCCTCGAACGGCGCGGCGCAGAGAGCAATGATGACGAGGACTTGAGATGAAAAGGAGAAGCCCTCGGCGCGGCGATCGGCATGTAACACATATTAGCGCCTACAAGACTGCACGAATACTTCACGCATTGCATCAGACACAGTGCGGTCATTGCGGTCAGCGTGAAACGGATAGCGCCTACAAGCCTGCGTGAATACTTCGCACATTGCGCCAAACACAGTCCGGTCAGCGCGAAACGCATGGCGCCTACAAGACTGTGTGAATACTTCACGCATTGCGCCAAACAACGCATCTGCGCGGCGCGGCGGCGGAAGTTAAAATCATTGAACCACATTCATGTTTGTTCTTTCATAATTTTTTTGTTAATTTCTTATGAATGGAAGGCCTTGTCCACACAGAGATAGGTTTGCGAAACTTAACTTTCGCTAGTAGTGTTGACAGGGGAATCCCAAAACGTGTGTTCAACACGAGTAAACGCGTCTTATGCACCCCTCCCCAGCTAGCACATTCACTTGATGGTTTTTATTGATGTTTCAATACGAGTGAGAAGGAGGTGGCAAAGACAGGTGGCCCATGGGCGGCAAGTAGGTAAATCCGGCCCTGTTTTAGGATGCACTTTTATATCCCTAAAATAAAAATATTCGATGTGAGTTGATAGGGAATTATAATTCTCTGAATTTTTCAGAATCTGATGGTACCTGTCTATCACAATTCCATTAGAAGTTTTGTTTACAAACATTTTCACGTGTTTACAATGTTTACATTAGAAAAATTGTGACTATTATTTTCCAAAATTTTCAGAAAATTTAGTACGCTATTTAATCTAAAATATCTGAAAATTTCAAAGAGATATGCATGAATGTTGTCAAAAATACATGTTTTATCAAGGGAAATTTGGCAACTCTCGAATGTTCATACGGCGTCCTTCCTTAACACGAGTTTGATATGCTAGATTTTTACCATTACTTTAAGGACGCACACAATTCCAGCACTTTCCAGTTTGTTACTCGTTGTGTATATCCTAATTTGCTTGGAAGCATCTGTATTTCTCCACCTCAGAGCAATTTGTGTCATTCCGTAAACCTGGAAACATACATGTATACTTTACAATCTGAAGCAAACCAAGAAAATCCTGTTAATTAAATGCATGTTTTATTTACTCTGTGAAAAATCAGAGGTTGTGAATACCAAAAAGGTGTTTTCCCATATGGACGCTTAATTGATAGTATAGCCATGACCAATAATAGTGTTAGTTTAACCATTACGTGATTTACCACTACCTACCTTAGTAAAATACTAAAGAAATATACCATTACTGTTCGTTATGATTGCTAAAAGTTCACATCGGACTGGGACACCACTAACTCGGCGCTCACAGTAAACTGATTTTTCTCAGTGTAAATTAATGTCTTGGTTACCAATGATGACACATTTTTTAAGCCTTTTAGATTTCATATCGGCGCTAGAAGAAATAGGGCACTAGAAATTGAAGTTGAATGTTTTGGGTAAGTTTTTTCACGTGGAGCGCTAATATAAAGTAATTGAAAAGAATGAGAGCGAGAGGACTAATTCTGACGATATTTTTATTACTTCAAGGCTGTATCTATGTTTTAGATGAAAAATTTCACGCATTTTTTGTCAAAGTACTTACTAAAATGATTCATAAAAAGCATCAAAAGAATATCTGTGACCGTTCATAAAAATGATGGGATTTTCCCGTTCATATTTTTATCACATTATGAAATATATTTATAAGTTCCCATCTCTGTGCATAGTGCGTTATCATTAGGTCAGTGTTACTCACCGTGAGTGCTTCAGGTATTTCGGGCAGTAATATTTCAGATAGCTCCTCTATTTTTGCCCATGAAAGTAATTGCAAAGGATCTTTTGGCAGTGACATTCTTAACCGCTTAATATGCCGACTGGTTATACGGCCCACTGAGTTTTAAGATGTAGATAAAGTTTTTGAATATATATAACAAGCAATTTTGCAACGATATGTATTCTCACGTTTCCATATTATGTTAACAGGTATGTAACAACCATTCAGCCGCTGAATTCAGTGAATTAACAAGATTGCAGCGATAAATTTCTACTCGTAGAGGGTGTTATTTAACCTAAAGGAACGTTAATTAGGAAAGAGAGTATAACAGTAACGTAAACAGAGCGGACTTAACAACGTTAAAATTAGAACTAACCTCATAAACACGGAAAAATATTTGTATCAGCTTTAACAGGAAACTCATGGAAGCCTATGTATGGAATTCATAATTTTCTGATAACATATATTTACATTTTGATGAGCGATGCCATACACAGACATTTCATGACAATATTCTGGGCTGCTGAAAATACCCAGAGTTAACCTGTCATGTACCTAGTAAATATGTCTCTCACACGAGTTCAAGTTCTGCGCCTATTAAGACAGTCACTGAGGATCACAAAGGTTAATGCAGGTAATAACAGATGGGTGCAATTCAACTTTCAGTGCTTGTCAGGAAACCTGCAAAAACTTATGGGCTCTTTCTGTTTACAATGTTGCAGACTTACTGTCATACATTATTTTTTTAAATTTAAAAAATACTCAACGTCATTTCTTAAAATTTTCCATGATTTTTTCGCGCTGTATGAAAATAACCTACCGTGAGGAGCCCCTTCAATCAGTGAGAAGACAACATACGCAACACTTAGCTACAATATTAATTTTAGCATGTGATTGAAATTTATTCCAACCTGTGCTTCTTGGGTTATTAACAATTGCATATCGACGGCGTCAGTCCACAATCACATATCTCGTTTGCGGTGTCTGAAAATCTCCGCCTCTATGTTATTTTTTTAAAGGAGAAATTGACATAATGGACCTCTAGACAAGGAACGAATTTAAGCAATCTGATACATGTTTCTTAACCAGAATTTCACGTAAAACACGATTCACACAATGAAAATTACTGAAACCAGCTCTTAACGAAGATATTAACGTTTTTATTACACAATAGTTACGAGGAATTTGAACTGCCCGCTCACAAGAAACTCAAAGCTCTACGTGAGTCAAATTGCGCACTACAACGGTTTCAGCAAGCTTCTTAATCAAGCAATGTTTATTTCCCACCATTTATTGTTCAAACTATAGGCAATTTGCTATAGCTGAGCCAAAGCGTCAAGATCTAGGTTGCCAGATTTTTATATCGCAGAGACTGCCATAACAATGTTTAGCGCGCGATGTGAATCACGTAGAGCATTGAGTTTTCATAAGCGGATGGTTTGAATTCACGCATCAAGAATCATTAAATATCTTCGTTAGAAATTGATTTTGGTAATTTTTGTTGTGCGCATCGTGTTCTACGTGGAATTTTGGTTAGGAAACTTAAAACAGAATGCTGAAATTCGTACCTTGTCTAGTGGTCCATTCCTTGAAGTTTTTGGAGAATTTCCTTCGCACGGAGAAGAAAAATCACGGCAGTTTTAAAGACTTGCCGTTGAGTAGTTTTCGGTTTAAATAATAAAGTATGACAGGTGACAGGAACTCTGCAACGTCGCAAACCGAGTAATGAGATTGTCGACTTACACCGTCGATATATATTGAAAACAAAGAAAAACAACAAATTTGAAAGAAAAAGTAACTTTAAAAAAAAAAAAAAATTAAACATGAGAACACTTTACCCTAAGAACGAAAGCATAGTATTACATTTTAAAAGTAAAGGTATTCGGTATTTTTAGTACCAAAACATTTTTGGGAAATTGGAAAGAACGCTTTAATTCACACACATGGTTCCTGGTTTAATGGTAATGCAACGACATAACGGAAGGTATCAGAACTTGATTTAAACTGAATCGAGTCGAACAGTTTCAGTGACGCTGTATTGTGCTCGTGGACCGTTGCTCCAATCAAGAGTCCTTCAGAATGGAGCCGTTCGCAGATTGCCTTTATGACGAGCTTTGCGTAAGCGTAACCTTTCCGACGATGTTGTTCCATCGTGTGAAGAGCTGATAAGGTACAAAATTTGCTGAAAAGCACTCACGCGCAAAGCTCACCAGAGGAACGCAAGTACGCACCCATCGTATGGTTGTGCTTGATCAGAGTTGCAAATTGCAAGGTATTCAGTTGCACCTTCAATATCAAACCAGTTTGACCGTATTTGCTCCAACGACTCCAGGCCCAAGGGTGCCAATCGCCCGGTGGATGGGGACAGGGTGGGAAGTCATTCATTTAGGGTGTTGCCACCGGCCACCCCCTCCCTCTTTGAAAAATGATCTGGCTACGTCTTTTTGACATTCTATTTTTGACAAGTGATTGTTATCTCTAAGGGTGATACCACTATTTGGCTCCTTAGCAGATCATGTTGCTTACTCTGAAAACTGGAAGCAAATTGCCAATGAGCTAAAGTCACCACTATTCACGCTCGGCAAAGTATATTGCTGTTTTTTCTCCCTAGCAATCGTAACATATGAGCGTGATATCACTATTCGGCCACGATTTGCCTACCTTAAAATCATAAGGCAAGCCGGCAATGAGCCAGAGTCACCGCACCTCGCTTGGTGAAATATATTCCCGCTTTCCACCTCGTCGGACCCGGACTTCTGAGGGTGATACCACTATTCGACCTCGTGAGAGCTCGTTTTACCTACACTGTAAACTGAAGGCAAACTGACAACGCACCGATCCCCTTCCGTACACGGAGGTATTCTGCCGTGATAAGGAAGAACGCCGTATGAGCCTTTAGGCGTTGCAACATTTCCTTTGATAAATCACGAATTTATGGAATTATTTAGTAACATTTTTCTTCCGATTTTTCAGAGAAATTCATTCGTAATTTGATCCAAATAGTGTGAAAATTTCAAGGAAAAACATTGATAACTTTTCTCAAAAATAAACATTTTATCGAAGGAAATTTGACAACTCCCGATTGCCCATTCGGCGTTTTTCCTTAGCACGGCAGTATTCCATACCTCCTCGGGTGGGAAATCATTATTTTATTGGGGCTAGGCGCCCCTCACCTACGACACATAAAGGTGTCCACTATCTTTGACACCATAAGATTCAGGTACATACTATGGACACGCGTCGCTCATTCTCATTTTTTTGCGTTTCCTACATATCCGACTTTGCTGCCCTGCTAGGGGAGAGCACGCTATATAGGGGGAAATTGGGTTTCCACCATTTGTCGTTTTATTTTCATGTCTTACTAAACGTTTTTAAACAGCAATATTGTGTCAAAAGTGTAAAAAAAAGAAAAGAAAAGAAAAAAAAACTGAAATACCTGTAAGTGTTGAAAATCAGGAAAAACATGAGGCCCGTCCACAAAACGCCGTACAATCGAACCGCAATGTTAAAGTTGAATGTTGATTTCCCTTCCTCAGCAGGGCAAAGCTCCGGATCTTACTAAGACAATTGATAGCATCATGCGAGAGCGTATGAGGGAAGAGATCACGATTTGATTTTAACCGGAAAACTAATATTAGGAATTAGGATACTTGTCTCTCGAAAAGTAAACGTCCAAACGTTGCGCGTTGGTAAACTCGTAGTATAAAAAATGTTAAATATCTCTTAGTGAAAGGATAGTGAATGAAAAAAAAAGACATGATCTGGTGTGTTTTCATGTATTTTTTGGGCTGCTATATACAAATTCACAAGAAAACGTGGAAGAAGAAACATTCACGGTAAAAAACGGTTTGCCTCAAAGACACAAGACGGATTTGGTCCTTTAGCGTTGTAGGTACCTAACTTTTTTGCGCATCTGTCATGCTAAGTTAGGCCCGCATATCAGTAATACTTACATACAAGCAACTACTTCTTTCCACATTATCCATTACGCTGTGGTACGCCCCGCGTCCCCCATCACAACTCTACCTGGGGCACACTGGCATCTGGTCAAGAGTATGTTTATTCTTAGTGCCGTCCGCACCATATTATTGCAACTTCATCAAAGCTGCAATGATATAAAAGTAGACGGCCCCCCAGAAATTACTACGATAATCCATACATGCAAGTGATACACAATTTTAATGTTTATTTTGATCTTGCATAACACATAATACCTATCAAATTTGTAAAATTAGTTTTTCATCACAGCTTGTCAGAAACGCCTCAATATTTTATTTGTTTACACGTCACTTCTTCCTGTCCTGGGGTCAACGGTGTCGCGAGGGTGTAGAGGAAAAAGTCCCGACTCGTATTGAACCCGAGTAATTCGAACAACTTGAGGGACGCCGTGTTGCCCTCGATGACGGTAGCACCAACGATGAGCCCCTCGGCGAGTAACCGCTGGCAAATGGCGTTGATGATGAGCTGCGCGTACCCTTTCCTGCGATGCTCCTCCATCGTGTGGAGGATGGTCATGGTGCAGAACTCGCTGAACAGGACGAAAGCGCAGAGCTCGCCAGTGGAGCGCGAGTAGGCGCCCATGCTCTGGTTGTGCGTTATGAGGGTGGTAATGTAATCGGCCGCATCAGGGACGTCGTCGAACCAGTGGGATTGGACCAGTTTTACGTACTCCAGACTCAATGGCGCCAACCGGACATCGGGAGGACACCTGTTTTATGACATTGATATCGAATGTAAGTGAATCATGAAGGATCGAAAGGATCGTGATATTTTGTAACTTTATTTCAATTCAAAGTTGTTGAAAAGGATCACAAGTTATTCCCTGTGCACTAGGCTGAGACCCATTGGCGGATCCAGCAAATTGGCAACGTTGCGTTTCTCCATTTAAACCTATGGAAATGTATCGATTCTTAGAGGGGGCAAGTGCTCCGACAAGAATCGATTATTTAACATAGCTTTAAATTGAGAAAATCCGGTGTTGCCAAATTGCTGGATCCGCCTCTGCTGAGACCTCTCGTGCGAAATTTTGAATTAAATTAAACTGTCCAGTTAAATTTGGGAATAGCTGATGTGGTTTGGTTCCCTTCATCTAAACGCAGCCCAATTGACAATGATTAATCTATATTATCAGGTAGATAATTCTTGGCCCTGAGCATTTGTAGCCACAGATTGCTAGCCCTAGATTTTGAGCCACAAAATCATGCGATGCAGTAAGTTCGTCCACGTTCTGACGACGAACTAATTGGATCATAGACCAAAAAATTGAAGGTGTAAATCTCTTGAAAGGATTTTCACTGTACATAAAGCCTCCCTTTGAGCTTCCATCTTATTCAAAATCGCCTAGTTTTTTCCTCTTTTTTTTGATTCTTCAATTCTGTGAAGAGCATAGTTACAAGCATTACAATTTCGAAAAATGTTGAATGAGAGATTGTGTACTTGCGCAAGGAATTCTCGTAAAAAAGAGGAAGAAAGTTAATTTGACAATGATTGGTGCGGTACATAACTCAACAGATTCCCAGAATTTTCCTTAGACAAAAAAAGACAAATTACGATGGTTAATTGTCTAACGTGAACTTAAATTACTGGAATTCTGGGGACCAAAAACATAGGAACGTGAATTCTTAGTATCGTACATAGGTCACGTCTAGATTTGGACAGCGTGAAGCAGAAAGGAACCAAGCCGCATCAGCTATTGTCAAACTTGATTGGGCACCAGGGCCGGATTTACCTACTTGCCGCCCATGGGCCGCTAGTGCTTTGCCGCCCCCTTCTCATTCGTTTTGAAACATCAATAAAAACCATCAAATGAACGTGCCAGCGGGGGAGGGTATGCATAAGACGCGTTTACTGGTGTTGAACACATTTTTTGGGAAAGCCCTGACAACACTACTGGCAAAAGTTCACGGAACTTTGCGCGTAAGTTAAGTTTCGTAAACCTATCTCTGTGTGGACAAGGCCTTCCATTCATTAGAAATGAACAAAAAACTTATGAAAGAACAGACATAAATGTGGATTAATGATTTCAACTTCCGCCGCCGCGCCTCGCAGACCGCACTGTGTTTGACGCAATGCGTGAAGTATTCACGCAGTCTTGTAGGCGCCATGCGTCTCACGGTGATCGCACTGCGTTTGCCGCAATGCGTGAGGTTTTCATGCAATCTTGCAGGCGCTATCCGTTTCACGCTGTCCGCAATGACCGTACTGTGTTTGATGCAATGTGTGAAGTATTGGTGCAGTCTTGTAGGCGCTAATGTGTGTTACGTGCCGATCGCCGCGCCGAGGGCTTCTCGTGTTCATCTCAAGTCCTCGTCATCATTTCTCTTTAGGTAAGTCGCGCCGTTCCAGGCCAAATTGCGTGTTTGGTCTCTCTCTTAACTCGACTAATTAAAGGTGCTGTCTCTTGTATCACTGAGAGACGACAAAAGTAGAAATTACTATACTCTCAGAAAATTAGAGATTTTGTCGCCTTTTCTCGTTTGTAATTTTTTTTTCTAAGTCCAAATTTTTTTTTATACCTATTTAAAAAATTGCAAAATTTGCCGCCCCCTATAGATTTGCCGCCATGGGCCGCGGCCCATGTGGCCACCTCCTTAATCCGGCCCTGTTGGGCACTTACATTTTTTACATGAAAACGATTGTGCGGATTTTTGCACAAATTTCAGCAAACTTTCTGCATAATGCAAAGCAAATTCCTTGAAATGTTCAAAGGAATCCCCACAAAGGCTCTCTTTCAAAAAATTAAATTGACTAACTAAAGGCAATCGCTGATGTGGCTTGGTTCTTTTCTGCTAAACACGGTCCATTTAATGTATGAAATAGCATCATACACTTACGTGTAGTCACACGAATCTAGCTGATCAGGAGTTCTCCATTTGTAAGTTGTATTGCATTTAAATTCGAATTTACAGTTACGCTGAGGTAAGGTACTCTCTAAGACTGGCATCAGCTTTTCGGGTATGGCGGAGAAAAACAACGTGGTATCAGGCGAATTCCAGTCAAACCTCTGCGTCTTCAATAATGCGTTTTGCAAAACCGACGTGTCCTCGCTGAAGCAATAAAGAGTTATCCTGTAGTTTTTGGAATCCTATGTAAGACAGAGGAAAAGCAACTTAAGTTTGAAAAAATTAAGTGAAACATGTTGATACAGAACAGACATAAATTAGTGTGTAGTACAAAATAATGTACTGCGCTACTAAAGCCCGAAGGGAAAGTCCGTTTGAACGATTCTCTACAACGAGAGAGAGACCAATAAAGGACTTAATGTCTAGCAGTAAAATCAACTTCTTTGATCAGTGATTTCGCAAGGAAGATGCGCCTTCATTTTAAGAGACATACAACCTGGGCTGCTCTGTGTTGAAATAGTGGCATTCGTCCAGGCTAGGCGTCGCATTAGGTTAGATATAAGATACGAAGATTCACGTTACTTCTTAAAACTCAGAGTACTAGTATAGAAGTGCATGCCTCAAACGTATATCTTTTTTTATTTCTACGCAGAGAATTTGACTTAAAACGGAAGTATTCTCTCTTATAGCTATGTGCAGCTACCACCATGACAACCTCAACGTTGAAAGTTTTTCATAAGCTCAGGATTAGTGGTGCCATCGTGTTTCTCATGATGGTGGTGAAAGTCTATTTTCCTCGAGGCTACCCCTCAAATACGTATGCAAAATATGCAGTTTTTTTAACCCCCTTCCTCCCCCCCTTCTATAAAGCTCCGTAATGCGGTGTTAGAACCCTTAAACAATTACGCAACGATTACCTGGACCATCTCTCCAACAAATCAAGTTTGAATTTCTCCCGAGTAAATTGGGGTGTATATAATGATGTAGAGTTTATAAAATAATTACAGTCACGAAAATGCTAACAAAGTGACATTTTTTCCCTGGGCTTTTTTTAAAGCACTCAAAACGGCACAGACAACGAATAAAGAAAATTTTGAAAACTCGAAAAAATCACACGAAATAATCATTAAGTAATGCTTCGCTCAATATTATTTCACAACATTTATCCCCTCTCCCTGTGTAACGTCGCATAACGCTAGCACATAATTTAGGGATGGTTTCTATGCTCGAATCATGATTCCGTTCTTTTACTTCTTGTCAGATTTGAAAGGAAAAAATCTAACCGGCTTCTTATAAATTCCGACGATTCCAGCATCATCCAAGCGATTATTGGTGCTGTATACCGTGATCCTCTGGCAAGCTTCGGTGTCCCTCCATCTGAGTGCCATTCGTATTGTCCCGTGCATCTGAAAAACACGCCTCAAATAAGACTGACCAGTAGCATGACGTTAGATTTACACAATTACGGTTTTTCTTAGTTTCACAGTCGAGTGAGAACGCTTTTCGTTTGAACAAATCAAATTTTAGTAAAACTTTTTCTCACCGATTTTTCTGAAATTTTTGCTGAAAATGTTTACACTGCAGCTGTTTCGAGCAACTGCTCATCGTCAGGTGTTAAAACTGAATAAAAACTAAAATCATGATACGTTTTCGCGATCGCGAGTAGTTCGGTATCTGCGTCCGCGTTCGTGAATTCGTGGTGTGACTGATAACGCTGGCATTCGTTGTTATGTCTATCTTTCTCACTCCCTGTTATCATGTAGTAGTTCATCAAGGTGGGAGGGGTAATTACGGTTGTTATGATGCTTTCTATCTGAGAATTGAGGATGGCTTTGGTTTTTGGCTTTGGTGTAGGAATTATCAACAAAAATGTCAGAAAAATCGCTAAGAAAAAGTTTTACAAAAATTTGATAAAGTGTGGCCGATAAAGTTAACAAAAGAAGAGGCTTTTCGTTTGATTCCTCTAAAATCATCACGGATAACTGATGTCACTGACATGTTTTTGAAAAATAAAAAAAATATAATAAAGTAAAAAACAGTCTGCTTGGGAAGGCTTTGTAACGTTTTCGCTCACACAGTTAAACCTCATTTACAAAAGAGACAAACTCTTTCTCGTGAACTTGATTCCTAAATCACACGTCTACATGATACATTGATACATAACGTAGAGCGGAATGTTAAAAACTTGCGCTGTATGATAATGTTTGGATTTCTGTTGATTATATCCCAGAACGAGATAATTTTCGAATATACAAGTACTCAGAACAGATCTGAGTTGGAGTGCTTTTTGAACTTTAACCCGTAAACATATTGAATGAACAATTGATTGTATGCGTAGGTACGATGGTACGCATTTCTTGATGAGATTACAAACGACAAAAAAAAATATCAATTCTGTCTTTTAATTTTTTTGTCTTATCTATCTTTTCTCAATGATTATTATTTTTTGGCTTTAATGTAATTAACTGTATTCAGGCACTTACTACAAGAGAATAGGGCGCGTCAGCGAGTAATTTCTCCGAAAGTCCCTCCATTTGTGTCCATGGAATTGGTTGTAAAGGATCATTTGGTAAATCCATAATTCGTGAGAGTTATACGCACAGTTATGCCTTAGAGTTTTGATATGCTAATCATGGAAAAAGAATAGTAGGGAACTAAATTAATATCACATATATGATAAATAATTTGACTACATTTCGCAATTCGGAGCTACCATTTCTGGCTCACTTCAGGATCAGGAACAACGCGTATACCGTTACTTTCCCCATGCACATAAGTGTTCATGCAGAACCAGAAATTGAAATTCCCAATTGCAAAATGCAGTCCAACTGTAAATCAGAATCTGAATGCACGGAGAAACATGTTCTGCTGAATCGATAGTAATTCAAATTAATAATTCCCGGTCGAGAATTTTCGTTGAGTCTACTGGAAATCAGCGTGTTTTAAATGATATCTCTGTTATTTCAAAGAAACGTCTTGTTACTTTAAAGAGATTTCCAGTTGATTTAATAAGTACTTCAAAGAATATTACTTTGAAATTTTTCTTAATATGCACGACACGGATTTGAATTACGTTTCTTTGTAATTAATAGTGGATGAAAGAATTTACAGTTTACTCAATAATTTCACGTAACAAAAACCCACGTTTAGGTATCAAATTCTAACTCGATCAGACATGTCCATAAAACCAGAGAGAAATCGAACGAAATTCAGACACACCTTCCACAGACAGAAAAATTTCAAAGCTGCTCCGTTCCGCTTACCGACTGTTTTTCCAACTGGTAAGAAAATTTGAGAAAAAAAATACCTTTAACTTATAGAAACTGAGTTTCGGTAGTTTCAGTCCTCATCCTATCACATGATAACTTGACTATTTGTGTAACAAAAACAAAAATAACAGATTAGAGACACTCTTGCATAGCACAGAAGATAAGGACTCAAGTGCATCGATTCATCCACGATCTAGGTCGTCGTTGACCAGCTGATTGGCACTGAAATCTGGTGGGGCTAGGCATGTGAGGAGGAGAGGGAAGCAGAGGCATGGCGTGCTTTGCGATATATCGATTGATCGCCGTTTAAGCATACGGAATAGGATCCGTAAATAGCTTGTTCGCAGCTAACAACTTAATAATCGATTCTTTACCATTCCTTCAAATGGGGGAATATCGATAATCGATCGTGCGCGCCTCGCCACTGGAGCAGTATCCCGCGCTAACGCAGTCAACGCGGCGCGATACGCCCAGGCGAGACGTATGTACGTTTCAATCGTGACGTCATCTAATAGGAACACTGGAAAAAAAGTCGCGCGGATCTAGAGTCCAGACTCTTAAAAACATTGACAAGAAAAAATATCTTAATTCAATCGGATTTTTGCTTGAATCAAAAGGATATCCGCTTAAATCAAGAGGATTGGCTCTTCGATTCAAGGAAAAATCTGATTGAATTCCAAGTGAGTAGCAGGCTCGGACTGGCCATAAGGTCAATCTGCTATTGGCAGATACGCCCTCATGGTGCGCTGAAAATGCGCCCCTCTGACAGATGGCAAAATAAGATGAGAAAAAAAAATTACGACCGAGAATATATGCGGAAAATTTCTTAAATGAACGGCAGAAGAGAGAGTTAGGAGTAAAGAAAGGGGCTTTCACGCATGATAGTGGTGAACAGAGGTCCAAGAACTACTTTCTGAAGCATAAATACGTGTCTGTGAAATGTTCACTTTTTTGTCGACATACAGGCGCTTTATCATCCCCCTCCTTCATTCGCTCTGTGTAACTCCCTAAGAAGCGAAGGTCTGTTCGATTTTTAGACATACGCACCCTTTGCAGACCTCTTGAGAGACCTTTAAACATATTTCTTCCTTTTCAAAATGACTATTGATTTGGACATACCATAGCATATCTCAGGCATACATAACCTTCATTTATCTCGAAATTCAAAAACAAGAGGCATCTAAAGTGAAAACGCGATATGACTATTCGCGCAAGATGGATGTCCACATTGCATATGAAAAATGTAAGACGCGATGGCGTGAGTCGTGAACTCGCAATACTCTGCTCTACGCTACTAGTTTGAAGCTCCACTGAATTAGACAAACGCAAACAAACACAATATGGAAATAAAGCGAGGGAAAGGATGCGCTTCTACGACGGCGCAGAGATACAACTATTCGTACTTGATGGATGTCCGAGCTGCATCTGAAAAATTGAAGGCGCGATGACGCGTAGCGTGAGTTCTCAGTGCTCTGCTTTATGCTGTCAATGACGTGTCGCTCAGATTCGGAAGAAAAGTCAAAAAAGAGGCCCGAACACCTCTCTCCTACTTTCAGCTGTGTTACGCACGTAGTGCTTGAAGCACCATTACGAATAAAATAGACGCAAACAAACACAATATGGAAATAAAGCTAGGGAATGGATGCGCTTCTACGACGGCGCAGAGATACAACTATTCGTACTTGATGGACGTCCGAGCTGCATCTGAAAAATTGAAGGCGCGATGACGCGTAGCGTGAGTTCTCAGTGCTCTGCTTTATGCTGTCAATGACGTGTCGCTCAGATTCGGAAGAAAAGTCAAAAAAGAGGCCCGAACACACACCTCTCCTACCTTCGGCTGTGTTGATACTCGTTCTTTCTTCTTCTCTCAGGTTCTTGTCTGATTCTTTTTCAGGATGGACTTGCAGACCCACGCCCTAAGCTCAAGGAAACCATAGCACTGGCTCGATCCTTATGGAAATAATGGTGCTTGGATGCGTCTAGTGGCTTTAATTAGTTATTTTTTTTTAAATTCAGAAGTCTGTCGGTTACTTCGATGCGTTCAATTTTGCAATTTTTACTCTGTCGATTAATACACTTTGAACCTAAAAATAGCGTAAACTTGTGCTGCTTTGCCAAAATTTTCTAAACCCCTCTCCACGTAGGGGATGCCCTACCGGAAATTTCACATTATGTCACGGCTGGTTCACAATGTTGAACCAGCCAAGGGTCTACGCCCTCAGATGCGAGCCAGTCCGACCCTGGTAAATAGTAAAGGTACA